TCAAAACACCTTAATGAGAACACAAATCGACTCTAAACTTACTGATTTGGATGATTTATCAGAGAGAAAGCACGAGATATTGCACCAGCGGATTGTCACCGGCGTGACTTTCCCGGAGACTGGAGCTTCTTCACCGACTTCAATGTCTCCATCTTCCTTCTCCCCGTCCTCCAGCTCGATGTCGCATTCCGATGGAAGAGCTGGTTCAGGTCCAGACAAATGACGGACGAGAAAAGCCGCCGCCACGGCGACCAAAACTTGGCCAACACCGTTCCCGCCAAGGCTCATGACCGTCCGGCCCACTCTTTGGCCGTCAAATTTCACCATTCCCCTCCGGCGGAACTGAGCAGTGCGCCACTGCGCAAGAGACTACGAGAAGGTCCCCGGAAATATCGGACAGTCCGACGGTGGCAGCGTTTGTTCGGAAGGAAATTGGCCGGATTCTCTTAACAGACGAGTCACGAGTGTAATGTAGAAGATAAGATTGGTGTCTTTGGTATCCGTAAGAAGCCCACTCGCGCAGAACTGGAAGCTTTCACTCTCTTCACACTCCACCCAGCGGAAATTACGGGATTTACCCGTTTGGAGCGGTAATTAAAACTCGCGGTAAACTGCAAATTTAACCCCAAAATTAAATTTTAATATTTTAAAAATAAAATTTTATTAAACTAATTAAACCTCATAAATAGCCCACATAAAATTTGACAAATTATAATTTTTTTAAATCATATGAACGAAATTATTATAATTTCTTTAAAATTACACCGATTTAACCTCAAAATTATAAGTTGGGCATAAATTCCATATCTATATGTATTAAATAATACTTTCCAAAAATGAAAAAAAAAAAACATCAATGGAAATTTGCTGTATGTATTAATATATCAATTAGCACCACACAAAATTTAACCATGGAAAATCGAAACTCTAATTCACAATATATAAGTCTAGCATTAAGTTGAGAATAGGTTTGACAAAAGGACTTCAAATTTTGAGCAACGACAAGAAAACAAACAATAATGATTAAAAAACAGATTTAAGATTTGTATTTATTTGAATTTTTCCTTTAAACTTTAATGTTAAATTCACAAATTTACGAGACACGAAATTCGATCGAGACATGAAATTGAACTAGATCGAGCCAAGCATAATTTCCAAGACTTCCTCCAAAGATGAAGGCTTTTGATGATGATGCAAATGTTTTCCTTCCTAGTTCAAGACAAATCATTAGAAGCTCCAAATGGATTATTTACTTAAAGAACTCGAAGACTTAGCATAAATGAGAAGAGCTAAGCTACGATAAAAGATGAACCAATTACAATAGACAATAATCAGAGTAGAGTTAGACCATCTCTCTAGTCGACGTATTTTAAAACCGTGAGACTAACGACGATACGTAACAAGTCAAAGCAGACAATATCTACTAACCATGGACTTAGGCCGTTACAAATTGTATTAGAGTCAGTCACCGGATGGTGCGAGCAACTAGTCGGAGTAGGGCTAGACCCTCTACTTAGGTTGTTACAAATGGTATTAGAGTCAATCACCGGACGGTGCGAGGTTCTAGTTAGAGTAGGGGTCTCCATAGTAGATCGTTCTAAAACCGTGAGGCGGACGACGATACGTAACGAGTTATATATATACAAGCCTAAGATGGACGACTAAAAACAGCAGATCCATCATAATAAGAGCAGATAACAGTACAGGACTAACATTTTAGCAGGTCTATATGATCATGGATGCAGGCACCTGTAAATCAATATCAGAAACACAACAAACAAAGATCACAGATAGAGTAACGAGGATGGGAAATCCCTTAAAATACATAAATTAGCTTCCAATCCTCCAAGTGTTACAATAAATACTCTCTATATGAATATAAATAAGATAGTGTGGGAGAACAAAAGAACAACAAAAGGATGTGGTCATCTCAAGCCTAACATAAACTTTGGAAACAAGTTACTCAATTTTCTCTTAATTTTCTTAACTAAAATTCCAGATATGAAGTCAGAAACAGGAATATCACGAAGAAAAATGCTGGTTACCTTCAAAATCTCTCCTTATAATATCAAGAACAAGCTCATTCCAGGTATCTACAGGCCCCGGCATGCACCAGTGTAAGCAATCCTGTGGTGGTGGCTTTCCATCTGGCCCACGTTTGGTGAGTTTATTTGGGTCAGTATTTCTGTAAGGTCCTGGATGCCCATCATGCCGATATTCAAAAGCTTCTGTGATGTCCATAAGTATTAGCCTTGATTTATTTTTCAGCTTCTTAATTGCTGCATTGAATCCAGATAGCTGTTTATCATGCATGATGTTAGTGAATTTGTTTTCCACTCGCTCTCCTAGTGCAAGAGGCCTATCTTTTCCGGTACAGGATCCACCAGTATTCCAGGCTCCACCCTCATAGTGATCAGGAGAATAAGATCGCACGATCGTGAGTCCCGTGTAATTCGGGCTTGTGGCAAGAGCAGTAAGAATGGTTTCAACAGAGATTTGAAAAGCTTCAATGTTGTTGACCTTCATACGACGAGATTTATCAGGCCACCACAGCTGTCCTCCTACGATCTCGTTATTTAAAACGTAAACCGACTGCTTGGCAAACCAGTGACCAGATGACATGACAATGACATCAAAATTTGGAACAAATTCCATGAAATGATCATCAGGAGCATCAAGGTGAAGTTTGACAACACCATCTTGGGCAAAATCTAAAGGTTCATTTGTTTGCTTCACAAGCCATGATGACCATATTCGAACAATCATCACAGAAGTTGACCTGAAATAATATCTTTGCATTTTCTTGTTTCCCCTGTTTTTAGGAACTTCAACCTGAACACATTAGAGAAAATTTCAAATTAGAAAAACATTTGAAAACTATCTGAATGATCAAATAAATACACAACAAAAACAAAAAGGATCCAAAATACAATATACAAGAATAACTTAAACGCCACATATTTAGGATAAAAGTTAGAATGGAGATCTCAAATCAGTTACTTCTCTCACATATGAGCTAAACATTCAAACATAGACACAAAGCAAATCGCTTCCTTGAAGGAAAATGTATGCCTGAAGTGTCAATCCCAGCAAAGTTGCAAAGTTAACTGCACCTGTAATGATGGTGTTTAATAGATGATAAACGTCAAGGAGTTCAGTTCTTAGTTAAGTTAAGAATCAATGCCACTTTTTCCCCGACATTCGTGCAAGACCCGATAAATTTGATATCAAGTCTAGTGCATTGCACGAATTAAATATCTACATATTCGAACCATCGACAACAAATATAGAAGCTTGAGTTCACCAGCATCCCCCACCTACACAATTGCTCCAAGATGAGCAATTACTTAGTTTAGTTCACTTAATTGTTTTCTCGACCTAACATATTCAGAAAGGACTAGATCATAAAGGGCTCTTTGTATAAAGCTTCAAAAACACATAGGAAGTACAGAATATTCAATATTCACTGCACCCTGTCACCCTTCATCATCTTCCAATGCAATCGAACGAGGGAAAAAGATCGAGTTTCAATCAAAACAAAATCTAAAATTAGCAAAAACCTGCCACAAAATGCACAACAATGACTCCATTTGATTTCGAGCAACTGAGTCACCGATAAAAGCAAGTGTCTTCCCACTCATCAACTTCAAGAACTTCTTAGGATCAAATCTTGGGAGGTTACATTGAGAGGGCTTCCATCGCCAATTCTCATACTCCTTGTCTGGCCTCCCATTTCCCTGACAGTTCTGCATCTGTGACAGGACAGGGCATGAATTATTTTTATATAATGGTCCTGCAGAATCATAAACCCAAGTTCCGTGGTACAAATCACAGCCTGCATGATAGGACAGTAAATAAAAACAATTATAATCTTAAGTGGGAAGGAAAGAAACAAAAAAGGATGGGGATGAGGAAAAGAGAGTTGAACAAGTTATTTCATGGCAGTATCTTCTCCTTGAATCAATAAGAAACATCCTAAGGATGAAGATCTATAGTGGCAAACCATAGTAAGTAAAAACAGATGAACTAAAAGAACCACATGGGGAGATGCAATGATATGATATTCATCATACAAAAATCCTCGCAAAACCAATATTATGTTCAAACATGAAATACAACTAGTTGAGGTACCCATTTCACATAAGGTTACCTAAATCTGATGCTGTGCTCCCATTAGTTGGCAGAGGATCTGGATTTTTAGAACCCATATCTGTATCACTGGAATTGCTTATAGAACCTTTGGAAACAGATCCACCAGCTTCAGCATTTTCAGATTTAGATGTATCGATATCATCCTTCGACTCTTTTGAAGACACTACTGAAGGAATCGTCCCTTCATCTCTCTTCTCCTTGGTTTCTGGAACTGACTGACTACTCGAATTCGTGGCATCTGGTGACTTGGACTTGGGCAACAAATCCTTAGCAATTACATTTGAACTTTCATCATTCGCAGGTCTATTTGAACTACTTTGAGGAGGTGGATTTGACTCAGATTCAACTTTCTTGTCAACTGTAACCTCATCTGAAGGGAACTTTTTTGGTACAAGATCTAAATTGCTGTCATGGGCAAGAACAGTAACATTTTGATTTCCTAGAGAAATTACAAAATCCAAATCCTTTGAACTATTAACACCGTAGAAGTACCCGCGCATTATGGAACCTAATGGGTAGGAGACTAAAAACCAAGAGCCAAAGATGAGGAACATGGCCAATCCTCCAACTGAAATAGCAATCCAAGAAATTGTTCGAGGATATACAGCAAAACCCTTCCTCGTGGCCCAAGTCATGACTTCCCAAATTAAACCTCAGCTTCAAATCGATAGATACTTCGTAATCAACGTCTTGCCCATTAATACCAACAATTCAAAATCCCAGTTTAGGCATTCACTTCCAGCACAGGATTTAATCACAATCGTATTGTCAATTTGGAAGCGATCTGAGTGATTAACACCCGAGTTGAATTTCCTCCAACGAACCTGTACATCAATCAAGCACTAAGGGATAAACAAACATTTAATTAAATTGCGACATCGCAGGCTAAAATTCAAAAACAGTTACCGAAACGGAGAACAAATTAATAGCAAGAAAGTCAACATAAACGCAACAAAACACGCAGAGGCACACCGCCAAACATACATTCCGAAACAAAAAAAGAAAGGAAAACCCATGATCGAAATTCCGAATCTATAAGCCATCAAGTAAAGAAAAGAACAATCACCACCGGAAAAGCAACATTCAAATCCAATTTGCGCATCAATGGAGCGAGATTTAGAATGAAAGAACATATAAAACAAGATTCAGCATAAATCAGAAGAATTACCACAAAGGAGAGTGGAAGAACACAGAGAAGAGAATGGCCGGAATCTGGAAATCTTTCGGTACAATTACCAGGTGATTTGTTTGGGAGTGCGGTGGAGGAGATGGAATCTCTGCGGAAGGATTTTTAGTTGAAATATAAATGATAAGTTACTTCTTTTGCGATGGCATATATATTTCTTTGCTCCCCATATATATAGAATGACTGGCTAATACGGACCCAACCCAACTCAATAGGTTCAATTTTGGATCGAACAAAATTAAATTAAATTCAACTTATCCAACTCGAATTTATTATTAATTTTAAATTATATATTTTTACTTAAATATAATTATATATGCATATATTTAATTCATTTTTATTTTTATTATTTATTTTTAACGTATTTGGAAGATAATTTTTTAAAATATGTCTTAAAAATAAATTATTTTGTAATTAAATATTTGAAAATAAATAGTAGATGTTTTATTTTTATTTGAAAACAAAAATTTAAACAAAAATGATTAGAATGGATTGAAAAGAAAATTTAACAAGAACGGTCGTTTGGTCGAACCATAACCATTAAATTTGGTCTAAAAAATATTTGAATTACCACCCATAAATGAGTTGTTATTGTGGCAGTAAAATTAATATTCAATAATTTTATATTTATTTATATACTATATATAAGATTACCAATTAGGGAAAATTTTATTTGAGAAAGTTTAAGCTAAATCGTAAGAAACAACTTCGAAAAATTTTTAAATTATATAAAATAAATTGAAATTACTACAAATTTATGGAAACCAATAATGCAAAAGGAAATTCATTAATTATTCTCCGGTAATTCGTTAGGGTTTAACTTTTCCGGCGAGCATGAAGCATCTATACACGACGGTTCTGACCAAATCTCCGCCGCCCCAAGCGTCTCTCAGCTCCTTAACCATTTCTTCACACATCACATCCACGCCGTTCTCCTTCGCCAAAATCACTGGCCCCATCGATTTCAGATACTTCAACATTCCTTCAAACGAGAACTCTTGTTCCATCTCCAATGGCTCCGGCTTTCCTTCAGATCCGATCCCCACGCTCTCGAACGGGAACGGAAGCGTCCTGTAATCGTTCAGGACGTATTCCTTCACTTTCTGATCCCAAAACGGCAGCGTGGCTTCCGTCAATCGATTCATCGCGGCATCGAAGGCCTCGTTCAAGGATATGTAGTAATATCCCCAAACCGCGATGATTCCGCCAGGCTTCCGGAGAAGACGAGAGGCGACGGCGTAGAATTTCGGCAGGTCGAACCAGTGCACGGCCTCGGCGGAAACGATCAGATCTACGGTGTTGTCAGCGCCGATTGATTTCACCATCTCGTCTTCGCTCATCGAGGTCGGTAAGTGGAGGTATTGAACTCTTTCGTGCTTCATCGCGCATTCTAATTGCGATTTGCTCACATCGATTCCGATTACTTTCTCGTAATGCTCTGCAACCTGCCATTAAATCAAAATCAAATCGAGATTTCACGAAGATCGCTACAACGATTACATAACAAGATAAATCAAAATCCAAACACACTTACGCCGATAGCGGCTTGGCCATTGCCGGTGCCGAAGTCACAGGCGAGGGAATGGCCAGCGGTGAGGGCGGCGAGTTTGGAGTACCACTCGGCAGGGTAAGATCGAGGCCTTCCTTCTAAGTACTTCTCGGCCAAATTCTCTTTCTCATACTTGTCCGCCATTGTTGCAACTTTCAAATCGGAATTGCCGTGGACCTGTGAGAATTTAAACACAAACGACAGAGGTTCAATTTTCTGAGGCCAACGATGGAGTGTTCAAACACGGCACGATGGAATTGGAAGATAGTGACGCCAACGCATTGGTCCTCTAAAATTTTTTTACCTCAAATTATAAATTTATTCTCATAATTTTGTTAAAATACAATGTTATTCTTTTATCTGTATAATAAAGTTTTTAATTTTTTAAAAATATTTATACTTCCAAATTTGCAAAATTTAATTTTAAAATTTTAAAAATTACTTATAAGCATTTTCTTTCAAGAATATTACATTTCTGGATAATAATAAAATTATAATTATTTTAAAATATCAAAATTTAAATAATAAAATTATAATTATAAAAGTTTAGATACCAAGAGAAATTTAAAAGTCATAATTATTATCGTAAGTAAAAAAAGAAAATCCGACGGTATAAAAGGAGCGGTAAAAAATGGAGTTCAACTGAACGCGCCACTGGAGAGAGTGATATCGACGATCCTTTTCTTATACGTTTTTTGGAGCGAGAAGAAAAAGAAAGGATAGGATATTTGGGCTGATACTCGCCGTCCGATGGAGATCGGCGACAGCTAGCCGCGGCGGTGAAGTCTGTTCCGGCGACGTTTGGGAATGTGGACGTTGCTGGTAAGCCCGATCGTATGACTTACAGTGGATCCTCTTACCTTGCCACGACTTTGCATGCTGCAGCGGTTCTGCTCGAGATTGACTGTGGCTGGGATTGGTTTATCACTTTGAGTGTGATGGATTATGCCAATTGGTTGAATCTCGATTGTTCTGCATACTTTTCTGGTTAATGTGCATCTATGTGTTTTAGATTGTTCTTTACTGGATCATAATATTGGGCTTTTGCAGTGAATTTATTGTCGTTTGTGATCTTCCAAATATCACCCGACGTTGGTGATCTATCGTGGCCTGATATGTGGATGAAGTTGTCCTGATTGATTTTTAGTATCTTGTCCTGATTGCATATGTCCAGTTGTAACTAAGATTTAAGCTCTGGTGCTAGAGGTTACTGTGTCTGTTTTCCAGGCTTGAATTATGACCCTGTGAAGGAGGGATTAGCTTAGGTCTTTAAATGAGTTTTCATTTGCTAACATTGATCGGGAAGTTTCTGATTCTCTCTAGCTTACATATATTGGCTAAAAGAGATGACCTAGTGAGGTTTTGTGTTGATTTGTTTGGCAGAAAAAGGAAGCTGCTGCCAATATATGGCTAGTTAAATGTGGCTGAAGTTTGAGTCCCATACACTTGCCTAAGACCGTTTTGACAAATTTTCATTATTCCATTGCACATTCCTACAAAGGGTGTAATGGATTTTAACTAATTTCATATCATTATGTTGATCCCACATCGGTTGAAGAGCAATTGCCAGCAAGGACGCTAGTTCCAAAGGGGGTGGATTGTGAGATCCCACATCGGTTTGGAGAGGGGAACGAAACATTCTTTATAAGGGTGTGGAAACCTCTCCCTAGTATACATGTTTTAAAAACTTTGAGGGGAAGCTTGGAAGGAAAAATCCAAAGAGGACAAGATCGGCTAATGGTGGGCTTGGGTTGTTACTGTCACAATTTAGTGCAACTTATTTTAGTTTGAATTAGTTATGGAATATATGATATTCGTAATCTTCCCGAATATATTAGTTAGGAAATATATCTTAGATATCGTAATCAGTTGAATTTGAATAGTAATATATTTTATTTTATTATCAGGATTTAGTTAGTTTATATTTTCTTGGTAGATATTATTCAGTATCTTGTATCCTATTTAAAGGTCGTGAATATCAATGAAGATAGAACATTCGATCCCAATTCTTTTCCTCATTCTTAAATCTGTATTCTTTCGTTGAGTAATAATATTTTCATATCTATGCACACTTTTGAGTGGTAGATATTGCGACAGTTACAAGGTACTCCTCTTGGATTTTATCTTACACGCCATTTGGGATGCTGCAATTATGGCTATTTGGTTGCACTTTCACTTGGCTAATTTTGGTCCATCCTCGATTGAAAACAATATAGTTTTCAAGCTTTAGATTATAGGAAACATGTCTCCATTCATTTTTGAAGGACGGGAAGTGCTCATTTGGATTAAACCATGGTGACGCTTCTGAGATAGACGAGTAGAAGCTATCAAATGACAGGTAAAGTGACTGAGTGTAATTTGTAGTCTACGACTGCTTGATTTGGAGCCTACTCCGGAGGGGTTTTAATTTATATTGCCATCTCCAAGCTGTTCATGCATTCTTTAGCTGTGGTGAGATGAGAAATAAGTGTTTTGTTATTGCTGTATGATGTCAATTGTGCTTCATTTCTTGATTTTTACATGCTAGAAATTCTCTTTCAGCACTGTGTTCTGGCTGGAACAGTTGGTAGACCGATCCGTGCACTCGCTGAGGCAATGTGAATATTCTGAAACCCAGGCGGGGTCTGGGATCCCACATCGGTTGGAGGTGTGGAAACCCTCTCTGATTGATGCATTTTAAAACCTTGAGGAGAAGCCTGAAAGGAAAAGCTGAAAGAGAACAATATCTGCTAACGGTGGACTTGGAGACAATATCTGTCAACGATGGGCTCGAACTTGGAGACAATATCTGTCAGCGGTGGGCTCGAACTGTTACACCAGGTCTATTTCAAACCTCCTTGTTGAGTTGAGTTCACAATCAAGCCAGTGCAAGTGAAATCATGTTCTCTTAGGTGAGCTCGTCTTTTGCCACAGAAAAGGCATTATAGTCTTATTTATTGCTCAATCAATATTAAAATCTGCCAGTTCTTGCATTTAGTATTCTACCTTCCATGCATTTCATTTCTTCCTGCCAAGCATAAACAATCTTTAGTTTCTTCAACAACTAAATCTGCTGTTTATAAATGTATATGAACCATATTCATTGATCATAAATATGGTTTTAGCAGGTACTTGAGGCTGAGGCAGTGTAACAGCCCAAGTCCCCCGCGAACCGCCCATCGGCGTGGTCTTGTTTGGGTTTTTCCTTTCGAGCTTCCCTAAAGGTTTTTAAAACGCATTTGTTAGGGCAAGATTTCCACGCCCTTGTAAGGAATGCTTCGTCTCCCTCTCCAACCGACGTGGGATCTCACAATCCATCCTATTGGAGGGGCCAGCGTTCTTCATTTCCTTCTCCAACTGATGTGAGATCTCACAATCCACTCTCTTAGAGGCCTAACGTTCTTCATTCTCCTCTCCAATCGATATGGAATCTCACACGCAGAGGCTCTCTTGAACGAGGAGATGAGGCTGAGGATTTTGCAATATGATTTGCATATTCCTGAGGGAACTGTGAAAAGTGACAGAAATTAAGATGAGCGGTTAGTAAACCCCCTATCACACACTGCATTTATTATTGCTTTGCCTTCCAAGTAAATTCATATATACATATAAATCATTACATAATGATCTAATTAATGAAATAGTTATGGAATTGATAATTAAGTATGTTTGAAGTTCTGCTTTTTATGATAAACGGTTCTTCCGATGATCAGCCATACTGGAACTAAGACACGGCTCGGACTTTCATGGAAGTAGCTGTGGAGAATCTTGGACAATGATCGAAAGCCCGATCCAGCAATATTGCATGAGTGAAGAAGAGCAATAAGAGCAATGCCGCTTGTAAAGCTCTTTCGTCGAGTGCACGATCATGATAGGACTCGAGAAAGAAGCCCCGACTAGTGCCAGCAGACGCGGTAAGACGGGGGAGGGGGGCATTAATTATTATTATTATTATTATTATTATTATTTAATCTTTTAAAAGTTGTTCTAGACTCACCCACAGTCCTGAGACAAAACTTGCCAAAAGCCCCCTTTTTGTATCTTTTTTATTTATAAAAAGCCCCCAAACACATGGAATCAATCCAATTCAAACCACTAAAGTTTTATTTATTAAAATCAATTCAATTCTCCATTCTTAGCTCTGTTCTTAAATTAATTTTATTTCCCACTTGCACTCATAAGTTCCCATATTTATATATATACCCCCTCCTTCCTCTAAACTTTGCAGATACACCCATCTCCTTCTTCCTCATAACTTGGAGCTCCATTTAAAGCTCAAACACAGAGAAAGATAGAGACCAAAAAATGGGCATTCTTGACTCTGTCTCAGACTTAATCTCTGATTTTGTGACCATTTCCAGACAAAGGAACAAAAAACCATTGCAGGTTCCCTCCATTTATCTCTTTTTCTTTCAAAATCATCCACTTTTACTCTCTGATTTATAGTCTTAATCAGATTAAGCTTTAAACTCACTCTTTAATGGCGGGTTTTGTTTTTGATGAGTGTAGACAGTGGAGATCAAGGTCAAAATGGACTGCGACGGCTGCGAGCGCCGAGTAAGAAACGCCGTCTCCAAAATGAAAGGTCCGACAAACCCATTTTGATTTTGGAATCCACCATTGAAGAAGAAAAGGAGAGAATAATAATTTCATGTTCTAAGATTAATTTGTGGAATACAGGCGTGAAGACGGTGGAAATAAACAGAAAACAGGGCAAAGTTACAGTGATGGGGTTCGTGGATGAGAACAGAGTGTTGAAGAAAGTGAGAAGAACGGGGAAAATGGCGGAGCTATGGCCGTATGTGCCGTACAATGTGGTGGCGTATCCCTACGTGGCGCAGGCCTACGACAAAAGGGCGCCGGCGGGCTTCGTTAAAAACGCCGTTCAGGCAGTCCCAAGCCCTAATGCCGTCGACGAGAAGCTCACCACCATGTTTAGCGATGACAATCCTAACGGCTGCTTCGTTATGTAATTCAAACCATTATCCAACCTATTTCTTTTTTTTTTTTACTTTTTACTTCGCTGTAGAAGTTAATTTTTACTCCAATACTTTTTACCCATACTTCATTTCATATTTATTTATTATACTAAAAAAAACTAGAAAATAATTTTCATTCGATTTTCTCTTTAAATAACGATTTTAGAAAGTTTTTAATAATACTTTTATAAAAATAAAAATAAAAAATTGGAAGGATGATCGCAGCTACTACACGAAAGGCTTCCCGACTCTACCCTATGAACACCTCTAATCTTAGGTGGGTAGTTATCAGTCCAAATCTTAAAATGTTCGTACATCGAGCATGTTGAGCAAGATCAGGAAGGTTTCCTTGACAATACCCTATGAACACCTCTAATCTTAGGTGGATGGGTAGCTATCGGTCCAAATCTTAAAATGTTGGTACATCGAGCATGTCGAGTGAGATCAAAAAGGCTTCTCCGACTCTACCCTATGAACACCTCTAATCTTAGGTGGGTAGTTATCGGTCCAAATCTTAAGATGTTGGTGCATCGAGCATGTTGAGCGAGATCATTAACAATATAGTTGCCATTTCAAAATCTTCCTCGAAGATTAGATATTAGACTTCTCGTGTACGAACCATTACGTTAACACTCACTATTACTTATTATTACTTCATCTATCGAAAAGTTACAATTATTTTATAATTAAAGTATTAATTCTAATCTTTATTTATTAGAAGTTAAAATATTTTCTTAATAAACATTTTTTAAAACAAATTATTTGTTACATAAATACAATATTTTAATAATAAAAAAAAAGAATCTAATTATTCAAATTCATTTTGAGAACCCTAAATGGAACATTTAATTTCTAAATTTTTCAATTGAAAATCAACAAATTTTTTATTTAAATCAGAATATTTACAGAAAAAATGAATAATATTAATTAAAAAAAAAGGTATAAATGCTTAAGCACTTTTTCTTTTATTATTATTATTATTATTATTATTTTAATATAAAGTTTGGTTCCCTCCAAATCCAATTATAGGCAAGCTTTAAAATAATAATAATAATAATAATTTGAGTGGTAAGAATGGTTTAATTATATTAATATTAAATAATTATTCCTTTTTAGATTTGATGAGAATATATTTTAATTCTTTAAATTAGTATATGGTATTACGTTTATAATGTGCGCTTTAAATAGATATAAAAACATAATAATTCCAAGCATTACATAAGCATCCTAGTTAGCTACAAAATTTAAATAAATTTTAAAAATATATATTAAAAATCCAATTCAAATTAAATTTATAAAACTAAATTAAAATAATAATATTCTTCGCTCATCAAAACTTTCTAAATAATTAATTTTAAAGTATCGTTGACTCGATCTAAAAAAACTATTTATTTAATAATACGTAATTTTAAATATATATATATATATATATATATATATATATATATATATATATATATGCATATACATACATACTATGTAAGAAGATCAAATGGAATATTAATTTGAAAACTTTTGGAACAATGAAAAGATTCCAAAGTTGAATTTAGGTTTTTTTTTTTTAATTTTTATAATTATTATTATAAAAAAAAACATAAGAAATATATACACTTTGGAGTTAACAAAAAGAATCCAAGCTTTTACTTCACTTTAATCTAATCCCTAATTCCCCCTCCCACTCAAAGATCATCACTAAGTTTCCTTTTTTGATCGAATATTATAGGTTTCAAAATTTATCTTTGTTGGATGAAAGTGGATAATTTAGGGAATAGTCATAGGTTTATAATCTAATAATACACTCTCCATTGGAATGAGTTCTTTTGGGAAGCCCAAAGCAAAGCCATGAAAGCTTATGCTCAAAGTGGACAATATCATACCATCGTGGAGAATGATTTTTTAAATAAATTTTTATCAGTGTTAATGTAACACCAACCTTTATAAATAAAGTATTTACTTTCAGTTTATTTAATGAATGAATTAAAAAAAATGAATAATAAAAATTATTACATTTGCTTAAATTTAGAAATATTTTAAATGAATATGTCCAAGTTAGGTTTGTTAGAATAGAAAAATGTTAATTACAATTTAATTAGATGAAATTAACATTTTAGGAAAAAACTAATTTTATTTTCTAAAATTTAAATTTAAAAATTCCATTATGTTTGATTATAGAGTAAAAATTAGGGTTAATATTCTCCGTCCATATATAATATTTTAAAATTAAGAATATTATAAAAACACTATTTTGAAGCTTTAAATCTGAGTTTGAAGGGTTACATCATTTGATTATTCTGTGCAATCAATTGTGAATGCATAAATCCTTTCCCTTTGTGAAGAATCCAACACCCACTAACTTTATGCCTATTTTTTCACCAATAATTAGCCTCCACATACTGAATGAATTAAAAAAAAAATTAAAATTGGTGAATTATATAAATAGGAATGGGTGTGTGATTTTTTTTTTTTTTATTAATCGGGTAAGAGTGAGGTTCCGATATAAGTTAAAGGTAGTATATTCAACTCAATCATCATATTTTAGTTTACGCCTCGTAATTCTTCCTCAGCTCAATTTGGCATAATAGCATAGCAAGTATAAGTACTAGTAGAATAGCAAAAATGTGTTCCTCATCATTACTATCTCGAGAGAATGACGGCATTAAAGATGCACATGGTAGTACTAAACATCTAAAAATTCTTTATTGGTCAGTAGTAAATAGACAGACTAGAATAAAAGATTATCCCGAAACAATATAATTGCAATTTTAGTATTATGTTCAGTTCATTGAACATTGACATGAGTGGTAATTGTTGGAGCAGCAAACTCGGATTCGACAAGAATCTCATTGGAAAAGGGAGTTAGTTTGATGGGGGAAAACCAGCCTATATATCAAAACTCAAATATGTTACACAGGGTGGCAGCTAGGGGAGGGAGAATGTTTCAATCATACATAAAACCAGACAGTCCCAAATAAACAGATCTATCACACCAAAACATATCAACTAAAACTAACTTATTCAACAACGCTGTGTCAATATCCTAGCTCACTCAATCTCCTAAATTTTGAGAGCTATACACCAGCTCCATCAATGCTATAAATAAGTTATCAGGATATCATGCTTCCATGCCTACATAAGCTTGTTCTCTTGTCGTTCAACGGGTTTAAACATTGCGTATTACCTCAAAGACCGTATCTCGTTTTCGTACTCAACAGCACGGAGTCAAAGTTCTGTGAGTCCTTGTGCACATACAACAGGCAAGCTCAGTAGGAACTTTTAGACACTTAAGTTGAAGCAAATCCGTCTGCTGCTAGTTGAAGGAGAGTAGAACTTGCAACTGGAGAACCATTTGCTTCTCTCTTATCATGTCAATAACCAGGGCGACCTTTAGACCGCCTTCGTTTGCCAAGGAGTTTTAGCATGTTATCAGTTACATCAATAGGAGAGTCGTCGTCTGAATTAGTGTTGTTGTCCGAGGTGTGTGTCAACCAAGCTAGAGCCTCTATGGCAGCATCCCTCTCTGCAAGCTGCTTGTTTTTCTTAGGCTTACCGACAAATTGCATTCCCTTAAACTCTACCAGCGCCCTGAACTCATTTGTTTTGAGGTGTTTGGTTTTGTATTTTGGAGGGGTATGTCCTGCCCTCATTAGCAAGGTTTGTAGCAAGCTCTTTGGGTTGGAGCCATCCCTTGTGAATTTGTCGTCGGTAGACACCTGCTTCCTACTTTCCCGACCGAAGACAAATCTCCCCTCGCATTGGTCACCGGACACCAACTCTTGAACAGAAAGAACAAGATACTTGCCTTCCTTGAAAATATCGAGCCCCGGATTCTGAAGCTGAAATGACACAACCATCAAATTAACTTACCTTTTCTAAAACTGGGGAGCAGGATTTATCTTATAAGTAATTTCCTAATCAAATAATATGTTCAGGTAATAAACTAGGGGCACAACACAGAAGTAGGAATAAACTTTACCCAAACGAAGGAGTATTGACTTTTTGACCATTTTCATTATAAACTTCACCATAAAATGAAGATCTCCATGCTTTCCAGTAATTTTCTTGTAGCAATTTATGGACAAAATATGTAGTAATCGGTAAAATTTTAACATGCATTACTTCTCAAAACATTAGTGCCACTGGTGACTTGCAACATAAGTAGAAAGATTGACCAACGGAATCATATGTCATCATCTGTTGGATAGTACTAGCGGTTGAGATAATGAATATCATACTTGTGATGATATAATTAGATCTAATAGCGGGAATGATTCTCAAATGAAACTTACTTTGTTTTCAATAAGCTTATCAAGTTCTTCTTTGAGTTGCAAATAGCATTCCGCCAAACTAGAATCCATAAAGAATTCAATGTAGCCATTCAACATTTTCAAATGACCAGCCTGAAAAGGAGATGTGAATGGTCTTAGACACCAGAAAAATGTAAATCTTTCACAAAAAGTGCAGACCCAGGATAGATCACCTGTACACCACATTTCACTGCTCCACCAAAAAGAATCAGCATCGAATCAGATATGCCAGTGGAATCTCGTAAGAAAACCGTGTTGACCTTCACTTTCTCGCCGAATACCAGCCATGGGAAAGGAATTGTATCATAACGTGCATTTACAGAATTCTGAAGCAGAATCATTGAAATGTTAGATTACTACAACACAGAAGCGTTCAGCAAAATAATGGATTTGAAATTCCAGAAGTCCTCTACAAATCAAATTTATTTGAAACTTCAATTAAACCTACCATGACAATGCAACATATTGTAATAAAGCACAGAATATCTGTAATCATAACAAATGATAAAGATGATCCAAAACTAATAACTTCTAGAAGTCTAGTTGGATATCCACAAAGGTTCAAATTCTTACTCAGAAAATGCAAAGCCAACAACTATCACATGTAGATACTGCAAACAAAAATATGAAGTATGCACAATGCAAACAAGAATCAGTATAAATATCCTCCCATGTAATTTCTGGTGCAGCCTCTCCCAGCAATCATATGCAAGCAAATAAATAAAAAATATTACTGGAGAAAGGCATGTAAGTTGCAAGTATCAGTACATATAACAA